CAGCAGGTGCTCAGAGAACTCATGAAACATTGAGAAGGATCACAGGTGTCCAGTTTCTGTTTTTACTGAGATTCAATGCACTTCATATTTTCATAAGAGACTCTTATTTCCAAACAGTTCAAATCACTCTTTTACTTCAGTTAGTTTGCGTATTTAGCTCGAATACTGATCTGTTTCTGTAATCTGTTTTTTCTTAGTCATAAAGTGCAGGCCACTGGTGTGACGTCTCAGAGTCTGACCTGCAGGTGACGATGAGGAATTTGAGGAGCAGGAGCGCCAGCGTCTGCTGCTCGGGCTCCAGTCCCTCAGATGCTTTCTGCACACACTGCAGCAGCTGCAGACGCAACACCTGCAGGATGTTATCAGGTAACAGCGTCATGACGGGCGGCGTCTCCTCCAACCTGCAGAACAAATGCAAAACAGTTAGAAATGAGAAATATTGTTATTTGGTTCACAAGCTTGCGATTCAATGAACAAACTTGCGATTCCATTCACAATTCACAAACTTGTGATTCGATTCACAAACTTGCATTTTGATTTACAAACTTGCGATTCAATGAACAAACTTGCAATTCCATTCACAATTCACAAACTTGCGATTCAATGAACAAACTTGCAATTCCATTCACAATTCACAAACTTGCGATTCAATGAACAAACTTGCAATTCCATTCACAATTCACAAACTTGCGATTCAATGAACAAACTTGCAATTCCATTCACAATTCACAAACTTGCGATTCAATGAACAAACTTGCAATTCCATTCACAATTCACAAACTTGCGATTCAATGAACAAACTTGCAATTCCATTCACAATTCACAAACTTGCGATTCAATGAACAAACTTGCAATTCCATTCACAATTCGCAAACTTGCAATTCCATTAACGATTCACAGTTTGCGATTCGATTCAATTCTGATCTCAACTGGATTTTAAACTGATTTTATAGTCAATCACTTGGTATATTACTATAACATTAAAGGTTAAAATTAACAACTGCTTTGTATACAAAAGTTTCAATTGGATTTAAGGCAGGCACATTATAATAACAACTTTTTAAAGATATAATTACATTTCTACTGGTTTGTTTTTTCAAATATAAACATTTAACTGGTGACTGTTATAAAAACATGTTTTCATGTTATTGTTTTCATGACTGATTTGTTCAAAGATACATGAAATATGGAAGAACAGGTTAAGAAAAAATTATGAATATGTAATATATTACATATATTTAGCAAAATGCTGCTTTTCTAGCTCAGTTTAGTTCATGCACTAACTGAAAACAGCATAGACTAATAGATTGATTCTTGGAATTTAAGAATCAATTTTAGTTCATCAAAATGAGAATCAATTAAACAGCCCTTTTTCAACACAGTTCTATTATAAATGCAAAACCATTATAAAATGGTTCATATATATTGATTATGATACTTATATGGAGCTTTTGTGATGCTTGAATCCCCTGGGAACTAATTGCATTGAAAATGAAGACCAACATATGGGGTTTGAAGGCATAATTGATGACAGAACTGTCATTTTTGGGTGACTTAGTCCTTAACAGCACCTCAGGGATTTGTAATTCTGCAGTCGTGACTGTGAAGGCAAATAATGCACTAGAAGAGTGTGTTTTTCCAGCACCAGAAAGAGTTAAAGAACTGTACAGTAATGAAGCAGATCTGTGTGAGAACAAACAGCCCTTTTTCAACACAGTTCTATTATAAATGCAAAACCATTATAAAATGGTTCATATATATTGATTATGATACTTATATGGAGCTTTTGTGATGATTGAATTCCCTGGGAACTAATTGCATTGAAAATGAAGACCACCATATGGGGTTTGAAGGCATAATTGATGACAGAACTGTCATTTTTGGGTGACTTAGTCCTTAACAGCACCTCAGGGATTTGTAATTCTGCAGTCGTGACTGTGAAGGCAAATAATGCACTAGAAGAGTGTGTTTTTCCAGCACCAGAAAGAGTTAAAGAACTGTACAGTAATGAAGCAGATCTGTGTGAGAACAGCACAGCTGTGAAGGAGAGAGATGAATAAACCCATTACAATCCCATCTCTCTTTCTGTCTGTCGGTTCCTGGGTCTCCTCTCGCTCCGCATTACATAATGTCATCTGACAGTCTAAGCACTGCATGATCACATGACCACATCTGGGAGAGCTAGAGTGATTTTCTCATGCCACACACTCTGCACTACCGCCACATAAATCCTTCAACACTCTCCCTCTTTCTGTCCTTCAGCCTCTGTCACTCTCTTATTTACCACTTTTATGTGACCATGATGGCAGGGAGTCCGTTAAATACGGCTCATTATCCACAGACATGCATGTACACAAACAGACACATAACCATATCAATCATGTGATGCGTCTCTAATATTAAACCATTAAATTTAGCTTTAATAAGTTTAACTGAGGTTAGCAGTTAAAAAGGAGTACTTCCTGTCTAGTCTCAGCCTCATATTAAACACCAACAAACTACTCAAAGACAGTCTTAACTAGGGTTATTGACATTAATTAAAACTAAAACCATAATGTATAAGTAACATTTTTAAGGCAACATTTCACATTTTCCTTTTAGTTTAAGTACTAAAATAACTACAAAACAAAAAATAACAAAACTAAATAATAATAATAATAATAATAAATTAACTAATAATAAAAAAACACAATACAATTACTAAAACTAACTAAAATTAAAGTAAAAACTAAAATTAAAACAAAAATCTAATTTAAAATATTAACAAACACTATAATAGTATGTCAAAAAAAAGCTAAACAATTTAATAATGGACTTCACACAAGATAACATTAACTTGGTCAGATCTGGCAAAAAACACAAAGCTCCAATCTGACTGGCCTCTTTTATACAAATAACTCCCCTTTAAGGCAAGTCACTTTAGTCTGTGGCCATATTCATAATGCCCTGTTTGTCTAAATTGCATTTCAATAATATATTTTAAATAAATTTGACAACCACTGTATTACAGATTGTGGTTTTTCGGGTTCAATCACATTTACCTTTCTACAGCAAAACTGCAGGATTGAGACTGCAGATTTCTTTCAAAAGAAATCTGAAATAGAAATTTCCCCACATAGAATTCGCCTCGGATTCAAGTTTGTTGAACTTTGAACAAGCAAATTCGTAGTGTTAACCAATATAAAATTGCTTGGTTTGGAAGTGATCCTGGAGTACTAACAATGAACAGTGGATCTTCTGTAATATTCAGGCTAGTCAGGCTAATTCATTTGTGCATTCTTGAGTACAAGTCGGGACATTTATTTCTAAAGCTGCCATATTGTGTGTTGCGTTGCTTCTACTAAAAAGGTGATTGGCTCCTTTAACTGAAGGCGGGACTACAGCTGCCATATTGAGCATTATGGTTACACCCATTTATATATGTACTACAAAAACAACCTCCATTTCTACACAGAAGTGATTCAGGATGCAAAACTACATATTTTTTTTTTACAACTGACTAGTTGATGGGCTGCCTTAAAGGGATAGTTCACCCAAAAATGAAAATTCTGTCATTAATTACTCACCCTCATGTCGTTCTAAACCCGTAAGACCTTCGTTCATCTTCGGAACACAAATTAAGATATGTTTGATTAATTCTGACAGCTCTCTGACCCTCCCATAGACAGCAATGTAATTACCACGATCAACGTCCAGAAACGTAGCAAGGAGATCGGTAAAATAATCCATGTGACATCAGGGGTTCAACCGTAATATTATGAAGTTACAAGAATACTTTTTGTACGCAATGAAAACGAAAATAACGACTTTAACGACGCAGTGGAGACGAATTGTTGAATAAAGTCGTTATTTTTGTTTTCTTTGCGTACAAAAAGTATTCTCGTAACTTCGTAAAATTATGGTTGAACCCCTGATGTCACATGGATCTTTTTACCGATCTCCTTGCTACGTTTCTGGACCTTGATCGTGGTAATTACATTGTCTATGGGAGGGTCAGAGAGCTCTCAGAATTCATCAAAAATATCTTAATTTGTGTTCCGAAGATGAACACAAGGATTTTTGGGTGAACTAACCCTTTAATAAAGTGGACCAGACTTGATGCTAACAGTCAAAAGTGTGGCTATGCAAGACTTTAGCCCATATTTTAGTCTAGAAAAAGCTGAAAGCTTGTGACAAGGAACTGTGAACTTAAGCTCATTCCTTTACGCAATTATTCACTTGATAATGGAAGGGTACAGTAAGTGCATCTTCGAGGGATAGATTGATGGATGAACGTATCTGGACTGTTGTAATGTCTACCTGGTTAGCGGTTTCTCAAAATCCACATCCAGACATCTCTCATAAGAGCCGATGAAGATCTCCAACCAGAGTTTCAGGTAGTCCGGGTCCTTCTGCGAGTTTCAGAGAACAAGAAAACAACAGAGAAAAAGGGTTAATCATGGATAGAAGTATTCATGGAGATGCAATCTACTGCTAGGTGTGCCTTTAGAGTTTGCATTTATGCATTTGGCAGACGCTTTTATCAAAAGTGAATAAGATTGCATTCAGGTATACTGTATTATCAGTTCATGCATTCCCTGGGAATCGAAACCATGAGCTTGTCATTGAGCTAGGAATGCTTTTTGTTAGATAGAGTTATCTAAGGTGTGTCCAAATGTTACAGGTTAGCGGATGAATAATATCAGGTGCAACACGAGACACCTGTCGACTAACAAACCGGCCTGACCACATTCCAACAGGAATCGCCAACCTGATACACATTCCAGCATTCCCGAAAGCAGACCAGACGAGCTTGACCTAGAACAACGCTCCTTAGAAATATCCACATACAAACCCTTTCACCCAGATTATCACGTGCAGAATTAAATCTCGATCAATAGCAATCTGATGAGCTGGCAGTGTGAGTTCATGAAGCATTTGTGACGCTGTAACTGACATGGCACGACTCAATGCGGCCGTTTGTGTGGTCAATGTTTAAGCTGTGCTACACTCAGACATCCAGGACAGGAAATCACGCTCAAGAATTCCTCTCGATGAGATCATCAGAACACAGCTATGCACGTCCATGCCACAAAACAACTGACCACTTGTAGATATGGACAACATGACACGAAAAGTCATCTGTTTTGGACTTTTCCAAACACAAAAAACAAGTAGAATGTGTTTATGCATGTGTATGTGTGTGTGTGGAACAGAAAAGCCCCATTCATTTGGGATCCAGCGGCAAGACACATGTCTATTGAGGTCTGGATCTGGCCAAAGGTGGCACACCCTGTTTATTTAGAGCTCACGCCACAGAACGGGCACTGCCTTGCTCTCGATGCCCTTTCCAGCTGGAAGGGTGTGGGGCGAGTCGGTCATATTCACCTACTCATGCATGTCAAGCTCCCAATTAAACGATTAAGTGGTTCTTCTTCTAAAACTGGTAAACATTAACTTTCAGTAGCCTTATATATTGCACACCCTGGGGGAAACGATTTTGTTGTAACCTGCACACCTTAATGTTACTTGAGTTACTTGATTTGTTTGTTCATGTAAAATTGGCGTGGCTTTTGTGTAGATTAATAAATTTAACTTCAGTTGCTGTGGATCAAGGCATCTGATAAATTAGTACTTCATACTAACAGTATCTGAGGGTTTATTTCAGAAATGGTTATGCATAGACACAGAAAACCGGCAGAGATTGGCTAATGCGAAGCATCACTAATGTCTGGCGTATGACCCTTTTGCGTTTACTACATTTCAGTGAATCAGGAGGTGCTGGCTGCTGTGAGTGAGTGGAGGCGGGGCTAATTTGCATATTCATAGATCAGCGTATAGTAAATGAGGCAAGGGTGTTGAGTTACAAGCTATTTTAAGGCATGAGAAAATTATTTTCACAAGAAAAAACATTTAAATATGTCATTTTGATTATCAAAGATAAGTTTTAAGGGATACAATATTTGACTACGGGGGACTTTAATAGAGTCCTAAAACTCAGAAACGAGTCAGCATTTTTAAACTTCTGGTTCCATTGTCTCAAAATAAATGTTTTTAGTTAGTTTTTTTGGAATGGGTTTTTAGATAACTGCCTGAAATATGGTCTGTGGTTAAAACAAGCTCAAAATAATGTTTTATTCTATTACAAAATACATCATTAATACTCCATTCATGTTTTTTTAAGCTGTTTGCATCTTGAAAAAGACGATTGCTAACAAATGGCTAAATGGGACTCCAGGGACATTAAACGGCAATCACACTAAACGGGTAAACTCATTTACTCACTAGTTAAAAATAAGAGGAAATATTCTTTTAAATCCTATCTGATTTAATGTCACTCCAACAGACGGTCTCTGTGTTTATTCTCTCTTGTCCAATATCTTAGTCGTGCGTTTCAATAGTCAAATAATCCTTCACAACAGGAACTCGAGTTCCTGTGAGGATCGGATAGGGACTGTTACCATGGTGAGGAAAGCGGGTATTTGTGAGGGAGACGGGACGGCACAGGCCTGCACAGCACTCTCCAGTCGCTCGCTCTCTCTCACTTTAACACATTTTCATCTATCTCACCCCACTATCTCAGTTTTCTCACTTCTCTCACACGTTTAATTTTGCATCCCGCTGTGCTTATCTCCTCTCGCTCTCTCTTGCCGTGTGTGTCGAAGTCCTGCAGTGCCTTCTGAACACCAGACGAGATGGCAAAGGAGAAAGGACAACAAGGCAATAGAAAGCAGCCAAGCTGATTTATGGAGCTCACTAATGTCACTCCACAGATGTGCAGGCGGTTTCGATTCATTAACATCTGTTTTATGAGCAACCGCACAGGTGTGCAGAAGATGTTAGGACAACAACTGGGAAATCTGTCCCGGGCCCTGTGACGAAGGGGTCCAGAAAGTCCAAAATTGTAACTATATAAAACTAAGCTTCATTAAAGCCCCTAAGAATCATAGCTGTTACCAGAGAAATTAATATTTGGGTAATGCATTAACAAATTTCTGATATATCTGCACGCCTGCCATTTTGACACTGAAGACTGGAGTAATGACGCTGAAAATTCAGCTTTACATCACAGTAATAAATTACATTTGACAAAATATTACAACAGAAAACAGTTCTTTTAAATTGTAATAATATTTCAGTTTTTACTTTACTGTGCAGTCTATCATTATCTCAGAGGGCGTGTGTGTTTGTGTGCGTGCTTGTGTGTGTGTTTATGGGACCACGACTGTAACCAGGAAACACAAAGCGCAGCTTCTAATAGACTGCTTGAGTAAACAGACCTCGTGAAAGGAAAGCACTTTCATTTATGAATGCTTTATTAAATCCAGCCGGTTTTTCCTTCAATCATTTTCAACTCAGTTTCATTCCTTCATCTGCCATTTCGACATTTGTCCATCTGGCATTCAGAAAGACTGCAAAGATGTAACACTTGGTAGGTGTTTCCATCTCAAAAACACATGAAACCGCCAACACAGTATGACTGCTAAATGCAGTAAGTCTTTGACAGTTGGACAGAAAGAGTACTTGTTAATAGTATGCCAAGTCAAATATTATTATAACTATTGTTCATACTAAGTATTCTTCAAGTATTAATCAACCTAACTACCTCTTAACTTCTAGCATTGCTGCCATTTTGGTTCTTCTTACACTATTTTCACTGTTGAAAAATCCGGGGTCAGTAGGATTTACATTTCATTTTTTAGGAAATTACAACTTTTATTCATCAATGATGCATTAAACTGATCAAAAGTGACAGTAAAGACATGTATAATGTTACAAATTATTTCTATTTCAAATAAATGAGTTCTTTTGAACGTTCCGTTCATCAAATAATACATTTATAAGCAGCACAACTTTATTCAACATTGATAATACTGAAAATGTTTCTCGATCATAACCTTTTTCAGATTAAACAATTAATATATTAAACAGTTGTTTTAAATTGTAATAATATTTCACAAGATTACTCTTTTTACTGTATTTTTGGTCAAATATGGACCTGATATACAAGAAAGTATACATTAAATTGGAGCTTTCTTCAAATGTAGAGTTCGAAGAAGATGAGAACGGCTTTTACTATAGTCAAAAACGTAATTAAACTAATTCTATCATGAATCCACATAGCAACCCCCCAGCAACCACAACTACCTGTACAGCCAAACAATTTTCCACTTACATTTTCAAAGAATTTAGATGAACTATATTAAAATAGTGCTGCCATTCATGGCATGTTAGATGACAGAACGTCCCAGTAAATTAATTTCCATCAGAATGCATGAGTTTTATATTTTGTGACCTTGAGATACAATATATGCCTAAATAGGTTATTCCTCATCTGATGGAATCAAATGGCATATGTTATTACTGAATGGACAAAACATATTTCAGATGATGCTGAGCAGGAAACTGAAGTGTACAGAGGTCAAAGGTTTGCTGTGGCAACTTACAGGTGGTTAAACAAGAAAACATCACTCAGAATCACATATGAGCTCTCAGTACAAAGCTAGAAGGTTCCCAGAACTACATCTTTCCAGTATTTGTTTGTTTTTAGCAGGTTGTGCTCCAAATCATTTTGTCCCAGAAAACACAAAAACACATGTCCCAGAATTCACAGCAAAATAACCATTGTAATGCCTGCTAACGTGCATAAATGTAAATCTGACAGACATAAAGGTTATCATTAGGCTACATTAGCGTGCTGAAGAGGAAATGTCACCTCACGCTGCGCTCTGAAGATCACAGGATGGTTAATGTATGAGAGCAGAAACCATAAACAAAAGCAAAGGTCATTCTTGCAGCAAACAAAACCACACTGGACTTGCGACTATCAGATCATGACGGAAATAATGTCAAGGACGAGCTGGCAGGTTGAACATGGCACTGTGAGAGAATCAAGACTGCACAACGCTTGATTAATAACTGAAGCAAAACTGTATATTCCATTATTTCGTGATGCTCTTTTAGCATTTAAAACCTTATTGATCAAAGCACGTGTTTTATTTTAAGTCTTCGATTCCTTTTAGACCTAAATCTCACATTTACTGCCACAACCCAAAGCTAATGTTCAGATTCGGAAGTCTTATTTTATCTGGCAGGTCATCTGGATCAGATCTGCGTCCCAGTGGACGGCCTCGGCTCTGAGGGGCTCAATCGCTGTATTACGCTAACATAACAGACCCACAAGACACTACTGACACTCAAGTTCTTGAGGAAGCAGAATATTCTCTCTTGTGGAAAATGTGTTATTACATTTGTTCTGGCTTATAATTATTACTGAGAATGATTTGGTGTTAAAGGGGTCATATGATGCTGCTAAAAAGAACATTATTTGGTGTATTTGGTGTAATGAAATGTGTTTATGCGGTTTAAAGTTAAAAAAACACATTATTTTCCACATACTGTACATTATTGTTTCTCCTCTATGCCCCGCCTTCTGAAACGCGTCGATTTTTACAAAGCTCATCGGTCTGAAAAAGCGAGGTGTGCTGTCCTGAACCCGCCAAAAAGCCTCATGATCACAATAGTCTCAACAAGGATCTGAATATACCAGCGTGATGGTAACCTAGCAGTTAAAGATCTGTACTGTACTGAGTTTAAAGGAGTGTGAAGAATGCTATTGTGTTGAACTACTCGCTAAAGATGAATCTGCAGCTAAACAGTGTTAAATAAACCTAGAGGCTAAGGTTTGTGAACAAACTTTGATGTTGGCTTGAGAAAGCCAACATGGGCAGCCCTGAGGCAAAAGAGCCAGATCACATGTGTGTTCGGTGTTCTTGAGCTGGCCTCGCCACAAAAAAAAAGTACAACAGTTATTGTTTTTGTAATATTTTTTATAGACTCTTGCTATGTTGTATTGTAATAAAGAAGCTTATTATGGCAACAAAATTGTCAGTAACACTTTGCAATAAGGTTTCATTAGTTAATGTTAGTTAAACTAACATAAACAATACACAATACACTTATTATAGTATTTATTAATCTTTATTAATGTTAATGTTAGTTAAAGAAAATACAGTTGTTCATTGTTAGTTCATGTTAGTTCACAGTGCATTAACTAATGCTAACAAGCACAACTTTTGATTTTAATAATGCATTAGTAAATGATGAAGTTAACATTAACTAAGATTAATAAATGCTGTAGAAGTATTGTTCATGCTTAGTTCATGTTAACTAAAGTAGTTAACTAATGAACCTTATTGTAAAGTGTTACCAAATTGTCAATACCTACATTTCACAATAAGCAAATTACAAGCAATAGCGCAAAAAAGCAGGTTTATTCAGTCATGAGCAATGAGTGAAAGTAAGAGAAGTGGAGTTCAATGACATGTTGCTAGGGTGTTGCTAAGGTAGTCTGGGTGGTTGCTAGGACGTTGCAAGATGGTTGCTAGAGTGTTCTGGGTGGTTGCTATGGTGTTGCTATGCGGTTGCTAGGGCATCCTGGGTGGTTGCTAAGGCATTACTAAGGTATTCTGGGTGGCTGTTTGATTATTGGAGTATGTTTTACAAGAAAATGCTATATCAGTTTTGCCACTTCAAAATTTCATGTTTATTTGAATGTTACTACTGCCTTTTTTTTTTTTTTTGAAATTTTAGAGTGAAAACTGTTAGAAGCAAATCATACACCAATTTTTTTCCCAGTGTAATTGAAATAAATCTGAAATAAAATCAAATAGATATTAGATGAAACACTAACGAAAATTAGAAATGTTGCCTTTGCAGCTAACTGAAAAAAATAATGATTACATAATTTAATTAAATAGTTAATTAAATAATAAGAGTTGAATTAAATAATAAGAATTCAAATACCAAAATAACTCAAACTAAAAGAGTAGGCTACATTATAACTATATAGAAATATAGTCCAAATCAAAGAGCTTTATCCTGAAGACATGCAAGGCTTTTTAAAGCTAAAGTGTGTAATTTCTGCACCACTAGCAAAAATAATGTTTTCAAACAGATTTCCTGAACACTCCCCCTATCTGCCATTGGTCGGTCAAACAATTAGCTCCGCCCCAAATTCACACCATTGGTTGAGCCAGTGTTGCACAAACAAACAGAGCACTGTTTACACTTTTTTGGGGAAACTGACATCTGAAGGTCTATTTATAGTTGTTCCTACATCATGAACTGGGATAAGAACGTTTTTAACATTAAAAACGACACGCTTCACCTTTAAGACCTTTTTTTTTTCTTTTTTTTTTTGTAAACCAACATGAGATCTTTATGGAAAAACTCTTAAACCCAAACGCATCTGGGGTCAATGGGGAAGAATAACCAAAACACAATCTGTCACTGTGCCCTGAATTATCTCGGGTTGATTATCTTAAGTCCGATTACATGACGTCACAGATGGGGGTCGGCAGTATATACAATCCCTCATCAATGAACACAACTGGACATTCCCAACCACCTGAGCTCAGCGGATCTCCCCAGAGGGCATCTCATGATGTCACAACATGCATTCACATATAGAACACAGTGTACCAGCCCAATGCATGCTGCAAGAAATGAATAAATAAAACCGCACTCCTTCTTACATGCAAGGAGATTATTTGGCCGTGCTTAGTGATGCAATGAGCATCTGCGTGAGAAATTAAATGCATTAACTCTATGAAGGTGCATGTGCTCTGCAAGCTCTTTACCTTATTGCAGTACAGCATCCAAACCTCATACAGTCTCTCGGTCGATGCCATTCTGCACCGCAAGCTGTGAGCATGTAGGCAGAAATCTTCCCGATAATAACCCCGATTATATTATGGTCAATATTCCCGAGCCCTCATGGTGTCAACATCCTGCCAAAAGGAGTTTGCCCAACAAATCCCACCAATGGGTGAATCTGTGTTAATCCAGGGTGACAGATCGTGTCATATCCCCGGTGCACGGTGAAATCACATCCATCATGTGAACGATACAAATCCCAGATGACTTGGACTTGTGCGTTTCCGGCAGTTTTTGTCACCAGCAGCTTTTCGATATTCCAAAAATTCCTCTGTTCTTCCAAGCCCTGTCGACAAACACAGCACACGTTACAAACAGCAATGGATTTAGATTCTGCACGAATGCATTGCAAATTCCAAAAACAAATGTGCATGCCACAGATAACAGTAAATGTGCAATGCATGACTTTGAGAGAAGGAAAAAATAGCCCAAAATAAACAGAGACCCATGACATCATCCCAGGCCAACTCAACATGTTCACAGAGCCAACATTATATCCCAGGCCTTGAAATAGCATGTAAACTATATTTTAACTCAATAACTTTACCATATCGGTTCAGATTATTTTTATGCATTTATTATGTATTTATGCCCAAAGATTTGCACATAGTGCAAAGAGCTGATCTAGAACTCTGGGTGTTACTGTAAGATATAGATCCTAAACAAAAATACAGAATCTAGATTTAGATAGAAACTTACTCCGAGAGGTTGTGAAAACATTCAACCCTTAGATCGTCAGCATTATCTTGCCTAAACTATTTACTTCAGATTTAGATACTTACGAATACCCCCTAAAATCAACACTTGTCATATTATAAAGATCAGATCATAATAACAAGTGGCAGCGGCATATACAATACTAATACGGTTCATGAATAGATGAGCTCACTATCGCTGTGAAACTCACCTGCCTCAACAAAAGCAGCCCGTCGAAACTCCCGAACCACGGCTTGTGTTCTGGTGAAGAATCCAGGAATGTTGCATGAACTGAAAGCGCCACTGACATTTAAAGCATGTCGGTTTCAACCACCCAAACTAGCTTTTGACTCATTTTGTAACTAGATAAGCCTGACAGCCCGGATGCATGAGACGAATATCATCACACTGGACTGCGACTGCTCGTTACAAAGCCACGGCACGGGCTCGGGTGGCTTGAAGGTGTGTGTGTGTGTGTGTGTGTGTGTGTGTGTTTTTCTTCCCTAGATGTTTTACGACAGGCCGCACTCCTTTACGTTGCCTATGTGGAGCTCATGTGCGTCGCAAAGGCGTGGCTGAAAACAAAGATTGAAAATAAAAGCCACATTTGGTAATAATCTATGTATATCAAAATAACAACAACAAAAAAATCTGAAAATAAACTTTCATATCTAAAGATTTATAGAAAAGACGTTCCAAGTTAAATTCATGTTTCATTTGTACACAAACGTTTATCATGCTTGAGTCAGGCCAGGGTGTTCGGTTACGTAATCTAATTAATATTCATAAGCACGCTTCAGCAATTCGCCAAATGACTAGCGTTCACATGCCAACGTATGCCTGTCAGCCAATCAGATAGGCTCACTGTATTCACATGAACTTGCATAATTAATATTGATAAGATGCATTCATCATAGTAAGACTATGCTAAATTCAGTCTCAGCAATTCGGTCGTCGCTATTTTTAAATCTATAATTAATGTACTTTAAGTTACCTTGACATTAAATATACTGGTTTTTGCGAGCATGAGAAGTTAAAAAGTGCAGAATCTATTTGACGATTTTTTTTGCACTATTTTGACAAAATATGACCTCCCTCTGCTGGCCAGAGAACGCAAATACAGAAATACTTGCAGTTCAAATAAAAGTTCATCAGATGCAACACAAACTGCTAGAAATGAAATATTTTTGAAAATATAAATCAGTCAAATTAGATTTGTAAAGTTGCACGGGAAAAGTCATTAACTGAACAAGAACACTTAAAGAAGAAAAATATGGAAAATTATATATGACGTTTTTAATCGGCAGGAACTTAAAAGTTAGAATTTCACTTTTGAATCTACTGCGTTAAGAAATGGTACAAGGCAAAAAACAAAAGACAGGACACCAAAGAGTTATGAAACAGAGTAAGAATATATTTATCATGTCTAAATATCTCATACAGTTAACATGTAAAAAAAAAAATCAGTAAATATATCGGTCACAGTTACAGCTGCTCAGTCCTTCAGTTTCACTTTGATTGGGTTGAGGCAGTGTTGATGGGTGGTTGAACAGCACAGCATTGAAAGTTCGGTTTATTTTTTCACAGGATTAAAACGTGCAGTTTCTTCGTATAGAGCAAGAGGAGGATTTGGATATTTGAACACAGAGATACACACAAACACATGTACTGTACACACACCCGCATGTTCACTGGCATAGGTTGAGTGGGTGATGCACTAATGAACCCCACACACACACACACACACACACACACACACGACATCTGGCTCCTGCATTCATGGCTCAGTTTGATGACCTCACTCGTTGGGAGTTGGATCAAATCCAGTGATTTGCAGTTAGTTCACGATGTGATTGGCTGCTGTGAACACCAAACAGGAAGCTCTGATCACACACTGACATGGTCTATATTCAGAATAGCACACTAACAGTATATACCGTAGTATGCATGGAATACTTGGGTGACCTACTACATTGGCCAAAATGTGCAGCATACATATGAGCACACAGCATGGAATAAGACACAAGTCACAGCTTGTTTCTGTCCTTTTTCTGTCCATGATGAAAGAGAAAATGTTGCATGAAGTGACCAATCATATAGTTTGACGAGTGCAGTTTCTTTACTGTAGTTTACAGAAAGTTGGGTGGGACATATTAAAAAATTGCTTGTTTAAAAATAGCTAATTGTAGGGCTGCACGATTTATGGGACAAACTGTGATTTTTCTGATAAAAATTGTGATTCAAAAACAGGTTTGCTGTGCTTGTTTATAGGGCTGCACAATTTGGCTAGTTTTTATTATATATAAATACGAGTATAACATACATAATATATTATTATTATTATTATTACTATTATTATTATTATTATTATATAAAAATATTAAACAAATAAGTAATATTAGTATTGCAATATTTCACAGTAAAATTAAAATCATCAAGTATTTAATAATAATAATAATAAAATATTAAAAAATAAGAAATATTAGTTTTGTAATATTTTACAGTAAAATTAAAATAGAGTATTTAAGAAAAACTATTATTATTATTATATAGAAATAAAAATATTTAAAAAAGAAATATTAGTATTGTCATTTTTCATTTTACAGTGAAATATAACAATACTAATATTTCTTATTTGAATAATTCTATTTCTCAATAACAACAATAATAATAATAATATATTAAACAAAATAAGAAATATTAGTTTTGTAGTATTTCACTGTAAAATGAAAATAGTTTAAGAAAAACATTATTATTATTATTATTGATTAAAAAAAATTATTCAAATAAGAAATATTAGTATTGTCATATTTCACTGTAAAATTAAAAATGTCAAGTATTTAAGAAAGATATACATTTAATAAATTAAAAAGCAGCCTTTGAGATTTCATAAACACACTGTATCACAAATCAGTTTTATTTGGATTAATCGTGCAGCCCAAGCTAATAGGCTTTTAGTTGAGGTCACAGACATTAACGAGTTTATACTTGCTCTTGTTAATCAGGAAATGTCCAGGCAGATGTTTGATTGGCTAAAAATGTAGACACGCCCATGAGTGCAAGATGATGTCATCAATACTTTGGTCCATATAGAGATGGGATTTAGTGAGATTTCACTGTGGGCGGGGCTACCGTAGCATGATGTGACATAAATACAAACTAAGTGAACGGCAAAACGACCAAATCTAGCTGCTGGTTAGGACAGATTAATATGGAATATATTCATCGAGAAATGGACAAGAAACAGACGAGATGGAGACAGAAACAGACGGCGAGGTTTAGGAGAAATCCCACATGCCGTCCTCGGGCTCAGGGTGGGTGGGTGACGGGGTGTTGCAGGTCTGGGTGGGGGTTTCAGATGGAGTCGTGTCTGGAGGACAGGACACTGGCACGGCTGGATACATCAAACTGAGGAAAGAGTCCCTCGTGTGTTTCTTCACCTGGAAGATCAATACAGATCAATGAATGAATGAATTTAGGCTACACTGTAAGACTGAAGACAGGGTGAATCTGAGTGAAAGCTTGATGAAAGGGTGAATGTACCTGTCTGAAGAAGGGATGGGTGAGGAATAAAACCCTGATGTAACAAATATAAATACCTATTCCAAAATACATTATTTGAGCATATATTGCATGAAGTTTCAATAGACAATTTGATTTTAAAATTTAGTAATTTTTTCTGAATATTATTTCATGTCAGAGGGTTTACTAAAATCTAAAATCCTGATAAACTCTAATCCTAAAAAGCCTCATCTTAAATTAGTACTCATCCAGGTTAGTTTTTTTATTATTACATTTTTTCCCCACGTCCACTTATAATATTAGTAAACTTTCAAAATTGATAATAATAATAATAATAATAAATGCTTTTTGAGCAGCAAATCAGCATATTAGAATGATTTCTGAAGGATCATGTGACACTGAAGACTGGAGTAATGATGCTGAAAATTCAGCTTTGATCACAGAAATAAATTACATTTTAAAATATATTTAAATAAAAAACAGTTATTTTAAATTGTAATAATATTTCACATTACGGTTTTTACTGTATTTAAGATCCATTAAATGCAGCCTTGGTGAGCAGAAGATACTTCTTTTATTAACATTTAAAAAATCTTACCAACTCTAAACTTGTGAACAATTCTTCTAAAAAGCTTCTCCTGCATTTGTTAATTCAGAGCTGGAACGTTTGCTAAGGGTCTCTGTGTGTGTACCTGCGCTCAGGCTGCTGCTGCAGGCACAGTTGGACCAGGCTGTGCAGTGTGGCCGAGTGGTTTTTGGGGGCGGGGCTTTGAGGTCTCTCCGCTGTGGCAGTACGAGTCAGACTTCCGGTCGCAACACTCTCGCCGATCCCCGAATCCACACCGGAGCGGGACACCTTGAGCGCACACATGTCTCCGAGAGGATAAGGAGGGACGTCGAGGAGACAGCAGTGAGAACCCCGCAGCTTCTGAAGCAGCATCTGTAGAAGAAGAAACAGGAAGTGAGTGTTTGGTAGTCATGAGCTGTGTCTCATTTAGAAGGCCTCGCCCTCCGGAGGTCGAATCCTCTGGAGGTCGTATCCTCTGTAGGATGCATATACGAAGTGTCCTCAACCAAGAATTTAATGAGACGGCCTTCGTAGGACAGGCGGAAAAGGAAACGGGAAGTATCACGTTGCTATGCCAACACATTTAGAGCATCGTTGCGCTCTCACACAACTTAAATGAAGAAAAATTATTTCTAAATTTGGAAAGTAATTTGAAAAAAAAAATGCTTTTACTTGTTTTATTTTGTTCAATGTTTGAGGAGCTGCAGCGTACATACAGCAGACATCTGTTAGAGAAAAAAAGTTTATCCGTTTTTACCGAGGTGATTTAAGGTAAGTTGTAAACAGAACACCACATCTGCTCTTGTGTGTACATCTGCCGGCGCCGGCATTTTTCAAATTAACAACGGTTGTTTACAGCGACGCAAAGAATTGTGGGTTATCTGTAGCAGCGAAGGATACACCTCATGTATCCTCCGAATTCCAGTGAAAGAAGGTCGCATTCGAAGGTCGCATTCGGAGTGTCCTACTTGCTTTTCTGAAATGAGACAGCCTCGATGACGTATGCAGCCTTCAAATGCGACCTCCGGAGGGCGCAGCCTTCTAAATGAGACACAGCTATGGTTGCGAGCAGTAGATGGCACATATGAAGAACAGCAGTACCAGAGTGGGCGGCATGTCCTGGAACGGCACTCTGCCACTGACCAGCTCACACGCCACGATTCCCAGACTGTAGATGTCTGATTTCACTCCATAGCCGTGAAGATCCTTCATCACAGAAAGAGAGACACAAAAATCACAAAAATCTCAATGTTTTTAGAACTGATGTTGGTGTTGACATTGACCAGGCCTTATAAATAAGAATGTACAATATATTAGTACTATATCAGTTATCAGCCGATATTAGTGATTTTATTTAAATGTAATCTTATCAATGTTATTTTAGTACAGAGGTACTATTATAGTTT